ATGCCCAGCTCCGTCCATGTTGCTGCAAATGGCAAGAGCTTGTCCTTTTGATGGCTGGATAGTATTCCATTACGTGTGTGTGTGTGTGTGTGTGTGTGTGTGTCTATGCCCAGCTCCATCCATGTTGCTGCAACTGGCAAGAGCTTATGCTTTTTGATGAATGCATAGTATTCTGTTATATATGTATGCCCAGCTCTGCCCGTGTTGCTGCAGATGGCAAGAGCTTGTCCTTTTGATGGCTGCGTAGTATTCCATTATATGTGCGTGTGCCCAGCTCCATCCACGTTGCCTCAAGTGGCGAGAGCTTATCCTTTTGATGGCTGCGTAGTATTCCGTTATATATGTGTGCCCAGCTCCGTCCATGTTGCTGCCATGACATATACACACATACACACACACACACACACACCACCTCTTCTTGATCCAATCATCTCCTTGTGGGCACGTGGCTTGTTTCCAGAGGTGACCTATCGTGGGGACAGAGGGGTGCAGATATCCTTTCGAACTCATGTTCTGGAGCCCACGGGTGGATCCCTGGGACTGCAACTGCCGTGCCTTCCTCAGAAGCGGCTCAGACCTGGCTGCGTCGGGTGTCGACGGGTGCGGAGCACCCCACAGGAGCGGAGTTCGGCCTCTCGGGAGAGCGGGGCAGGCATGCACTCATCACGAAGCCCACGGGGCCCCGGCCACGGCACGTCACGGCCGCTGCTGTGGAGCGTCCCCCGCTCTCTTTGGGTCTCGCTCAATCTCTGTCACATCCAGATCTGACCCGTCAGTGTCAACCTCGCCCTGCGGACGACGGTGCCCTGCTGCGATTCAGCTTGACCTTTGCAGGAACATACACACCCGTGCCGGCCTGTCAGCACTTAAGTACGCCTCGGACGCCGGGCGGCCTTCTTCTCCCGCCGCGGCCCAATTAGCGTGGCGCGTCGCTTGGGAGAAGTTTGCAATCGGTGACGGGCGTATTGATCAGCGGCCGGCGTTGCCGAGAGGACCGCGACGGTGTTTGAGGTATCGGAAACGATGTCTGCTTTGGAAAGGTGTATTTAAATATCAGTCTCATCTCGGGGGGACGCAGGAAAATGCCCTGATGGGAGTAATTTCACGGGGCCATCAGACCCAGAGAAAATCCTAACTGTTCTCTGACTCATTATTAAAATTCAGGATCGCGGAGCCCTCTCCACCCAGTGATGTATTGTACATAATGACTTTCTTATTCAATTTTTCTAATCTCTATTTTTCATCCCTGGAGGTTTTTTTTTTTTTTTATTCCTCGGTAATTGTCCAGAGCTTTAAATAAAAGAATAGTAGTGATTGAATCTTCACGGGTCTTTATTTTTAGACTCACATCTTGAAGTCTGCAGCAAGACAGTAGAGAGCAGAGCAGAAAATCCGCGCAGAGAGGTGACCGGAATCCTTCCAGCTGCCCTTCACTTCGGCACGGGGCAAGAAGACCTTGGGCAGGGACAAGCCCTCTCCTGTGTCTCCGCTGGTGTCGGTCACCCCGAACCCGCCCCGCCCCACCTCCCGCTCCCCCAGCCCGGCACACAGGCCACGGCGTTCACCCCCGCCGCAGACACGGCCCCGTGTGGCTTATCCCCGACGTCCCAGCCCCCCCTGCAGCTGGGGTCAGCACATGCACACCCTGGGGGTCAACATCGCGGTGCACGTGGCGAACTGTTCTTAAAAAGACAATAAAAAAGGAGAAAACGGCCGTGACCTTGCAGATACGCGCGGGGCGGTGGATTCTGGGGTGCGCGTTCGGCGGGGCGAGAAGCGGTGTGACCTGCAGGATCACCAGCGTCCCAGTGACTGTGCAAATGTTTGCGAGGCGCCGGCTGTGCTCACACGGAGCAGCGCCGATGCTGAGAGGCACAGAGAGCTCGTTCATGCGGGGACGCGGCCGCAGGCTGGGGCTGGCCGGGGCGAGCGGGGAGGAGCCGTGAGGCCACGCTGGCGCCGTGGGATTCGGGACACGCGGGAGAACGCTGATGTCCGGTCTCTGCTCTCCAGGCTGGGCGAGGTGGAGGTCGGCTTGCAGCTGGCTGTTCCTGATGGCAGCGAAGCTGTCCGTGACTTCGGGAGCGGCATGGGCCCGGACTCGGTGCTGGGGGCGCCCCAGCCGACGAGGTGGACGTGGGGGCCAGCAGGGAGACAGCTGAGGCTGACGTGCAGGCCGGGCGGGTGCAGTCAGGACGATCCAGACACGATCAAGCCTGAAGTTCCCGGAGCAGCAAGCGAACCCTGGCGAGTGTCACGCCAGGCCTCAGGGTCAGGCACGAGTGAAATCGATTGTTTGCACGATGACTTTGGTGGCAACGGGCAGGTGATGCTCTCTGGAAGGGCTGCGTGGCCAGCTGACCACTTACCGCTCCGTTTCTGGCATAGCAGGAGGCGCAGAAGATGGTCCCTGAAAGCACCCGGTTGCGTGCAGAAGCTTTTCCGCAGGGCTCCTGGCGACTCGGCAGATGCCCGCCTGGCGCCCTCCCACCTGCTCACGCAGAGGCAGCTGGCGCAGGACTCCGCTAGGCGCCAGGGGAGGGGAAGGACGGCCGTGCTGGGCTGACCCTGAGCACAGCTTTTTCTGCCAGGGAGCGTTGGATGGAAAATAGATGGAGGATGTAAGCACGACATGAAGGGTCTTGCAGGGTGCAGGGAGATCAATACGGGAGCTGCGGCATTGTAGAGATGCCTGGAGCGACTGGAGATGGAATTCGCGAAACAGAGACCGTAATACATGCGGGGACCGGGTGGAAAAGGAAAGAGAAGTGGCGGGTGGGGAGGATGAAGGGACACGCCAAGGTCTGTCCCACTGCGTTAGGAAAAGCGCCGTTAGGATTCTGGGTGTCCCAGAAGGGGAAGAGAGACAGAAGGCAGCAGGAAACTTATCGCTGAAGACAATAGAGGGAAAGTTCCCAAGCCCGAGGGACAAGCGAGTGTGCAAGTTCACGAAGCAGCTGGGACACCTGGCTGTCCACATGCCGCAAGACCCACAGTCCTGGAACTAGCAGGGATTCGAGACAAAGGCAGAAGATGAAGGCAGAGACAGGGCAAGCGCAGGCAACGGGAAAGCCACGGGAGGGGGGCAGACACACGCGCGTGGTGGAATATTACTCGGCCATTAAAAGGACAAACTCTTGCCTTCTGCAACAGTATGCATGGGCCTGAAGAGGATAATGCAAGGTGAAGTAGTCTCAAGGACATGGACAAACACCATAGTCTCATCTGGTTTAACAAACACACACACACTCACTCACACACACACACAGTGGAATACTACTCAGCCATCAAAAAGGACGAACTCTTGCCTTT